GTTTATAAAGAGAGACAACCTCAGAAAGCGTAACTGAACTGACAATAACTAGATTCAAGCTTATGCATTTTCAGCAAGCTTACTGCTAGGAGCTTTAACCTGTCTCCAGAAGGCAATAAATGAAAGGTTCGGCTCTTAAAATTGGAGGTCAGTTACATACTTAATGATGAAGCATATCTTTAAATCTATTTCTACTATTATTATCCTAGCAAAAAATTAATTAACCAGGTCAGGGAGGCTATGAAGGCTAATGTGGAATGTAATTATTCCTGATCTTTAGACATGTACTTCACATAAAGAGATAGTCCTTATTCAGCTCACCAGGTACCTGAATTGTCAGTAGTTAATCATGGATAAGAAGAGAGACTCATTGGTTCAGCCTCTTAAGTTTTAAGTATGATTCGAATGATTCCTGTGCAAGGACAGTTTAAACAGTTTTAATTTTTATGTTACTATTCTTTTGTTTGTTTACTATCACAGTAATCATGTTCGATTTTTGACTGAAACAGAAATGCAAGAACTTTAATATGAAACTACAATGGCACAAATATAGATTAAAACTACAAAAAATTACTATTAGGAGTAATTTATAGCAGCTGGATTAAAAGAGAATACTTATAAGGGTAGGCAAAGCCAGTTTTTCTATGCAATGGAAATCATACTGATTCAAACAGAGAACTCTGCAATGGCATGGTGCCTAGTACAGAGAAATAAGGTGAAGGGAAATGGACAAAAGCAGTTTGCATCAGCTATCACTGTAATATCCATCGCACATTTTTGCAGAAAAGCTCAACAATCAGTGTCTCTTTTAAAAATTTCAGCCACAATTTAGGACTTACCCTAATGAAGCCTGCCCACCAGAGAAGGGAAGCCCTCCAACTTTCAGCCCTTACATCCATGCACTGCCACCATCACCCCCAGAGGGAAATCCTGGAGCAACATGCTCCAAGCATCAGTGGGATCCAACACCTTTCCTCAGTGGGATGTGGTGGGGGTCAGAAGCAGCCTGAAAGGACTGAAGTCTGGTCATGAGGCGCAGAATTCACAGGGATTTCAGGGTCTCAAGCAGTTCTCAAGTTTGGAACCATTCTAGAGATGCCTTCCCTTCTTCCAATGTAGTCTTACCTTCACGATGTACCATCAAATACCTCCTTTAAACAGCTTTTTCCCTTATCCCTAGAGGTTTTCACTTTCATGGCACAGGCTAAGAGATGTCCTTGAAATAGTCTCATTTAGTCACTTTTACTTTAAGAACTAATACTTTTTATTAAAAAAAAGAAGGTTCTTTTAAAAAACCTGAATCAACTTGGAGAGTAATCTGTGAGCTCTTACTTGCCCTACAGTATTTTCTCAACTTTATTTCCACTAAAAGCAATGATTTCTCTGCACAGCTTTGCAGAACGAAGAACTTAATTTGGCATACTAGATTTCCTCCCATCTCTATGGCTCCTCTGTAGAACAGTGTTTATGAACATTATGAACATTTGAGCTGAAAAGTAATAACACACTGCATTTATCTGAAGTTTTTAATTTAAGATTCTTAAAACATTATGTTTGAATTGAGGAACCGGAAACAATTTGCCAAATTTTGGATAATCAGACAGAACTGAGAACAACTCCAGATTCCCACTCCCTTTAGCCAACAGACAAAAATGCTCTCCCCAACATACACACCCTGAAAGTAACATTAGCTTCACTTGGAAAACATGAGATGATTATGCAGAACATTTAATTACCTCAGTACTCTTCAAATACCTATGTTTTCATATGCTAAGCCTAGGTAATATCCTCTTTGCTCACAGACTGTTGACAAAGTTTTGGATGTATAATGCATCTGGAGTAAGGTGCTCCAGTAAATAGTCTTAAAAGGAAAAAAAAACAAAAAACAAAAAACCCCAATTAAATGAAATAAGGTGTTAAATTATTAAATAAACAAATAATATGCAACACCATGTAAATAATAAAAATTCTCAGTAAATTAACCCAATAGGTGTCCAGGAAAAGATGTGTTTTATTTAATATGGATTATTTTCCACTTTTATATGTGGTTGACAGAAATCTTGTAAGCCCCATCCAAAGTAATTTCTAATTGTTTAAATGGTTAAATAAACTGGATGCACTCACAGAAGTTATTGTTTAAGAATTAACACTGTACCTCAGAAGATGACAGTGGAATACTGTGTGTCTCATGATGAAAACATTGCATCAGCAATGCCCCACTCCTGCATCCTGGAGAACATATTGTACTTATTTCAAGTAGCTGTGCCATGAATAGGCCCATGCCCAGATGGAACTGGCACCTGTGCTACTTGTATTTTGTAATCTCTTCAAAAGGGGAGTGTCAGGGAAGAATACTGTTGTTTTTCCATGCATATCAACTATAGATAAGAATCCACACCATTTTATGTAAGTAATCGCTGTTTCCTGAAAAGGGTTGCTCAAGAGTGACTTTAAACTAATGCACATTCTGGATAAAATCAAGTAAGTTATTGGGGACGCAGTTCCACCAAGCCCAAAAAATAACTGAGAGTGTAAAGGTTTATTAGAAAACGGGGGTTTTTTCCCCCCTCAAGCCACAGAGAGCGTGATTCACCTCATCTCACTTCAGATCTCTACACTGTAGGCATCAGCATGTATATCTTTTATAGTTAATGGAGAGAAACCACCCTTTTAGATAACAATTAATCTGACATATTTTAAACGTCTACTTTAGGACAAGATGAATTGCATCCTGAAACTATTCACTCCGCTTGTCTCTGTTCAGTATAAAAACAATCTGGATAATTAATTGAGACAGAATCTACACGGCAGTTATCAACTTTTGATATGATGAATTCCACTCAGAGTCACCACTGCGACTTCAGGATCAGTATTAACTTTTCCTGGGAAGATGCTGGGAGGGGACCGGGGAGAACCAGCACAGCACTGCACCTCTCGCCTGCCTCCTGGTTTACCTCCATCCCACGTATAGCCCTTAAGGAGCTGCAAGTCTCAACAACCTGCAACACTTGTAACCAATTCAGCAGCGACAAACCTATTAACGAACACAGAGGAAACTTAGCAACTAACTTCTCTCCCAAGCAACTCCTGGCTAGCAAACCTGCCACAGAATTAAGAAAGAACAAATAAACAAAGAAGAACCATCTGGCTCACAAGCAAATGGACCATGTAAGCTGGTGTCTAGCCTGGGAAATCATCTCCTAACAAACTTTTTCTTAGTAGTCTCCTCGTAAGATCAATGCGTATTTGAGATGGCATCTGCCCAACATGCCTAGTGCTTCACACTGGAGTCTACAATGTTACTTGGGCAGTGAGATGCCCACTACCAATCTGGCTAACAAGCTGGGAAAAGAAACAGGCCCCATTGCCTCAAATACACTGATTAGATTCATGTCAATATAAAGATAAATAAAGAGGCCAAACTACTGAGAAAATATGGAACAGGAGAGGCTTATATTGGCAAGAGTTTTGAAATATAGGGGAGGATCACCAGAAATAATTTAGCTCACATGAACAGAACAAGCATTAAAACTCTTCTTTGCATATGTATCTAGGAAAGGATGTGAAAGAAATATTGTGGAGGTTTCAGCACTATGTAAGAGGAAAATTGGGAGTGAACAAGAAAATGAACCTGCAACCTATTCTAAGACCACATTTCCCTGGAGTAAGTGGAAGGGTAAAGCTATTGGAAAGTATTGAGTGAACTGCAACATAAAGTACCTTTGAACTTTTCACTACAGAGCAGTAAAACATATCCACGTTCTCCAAACAGGAACAAAAATCTCCTGCTCATGATTCCTCTTTTTGTGTCCTAATTTTAAAAGGAATTTTAAAAATTATAAATTTCTCATGCAAATAACTGTTCTGTTTAGTGAACTCAGCTATGTTTCAGTCTTAGCTTTTATGCCAAGTTTTTTTGTATGACTCTGTTCTCTGAAGCCTAACTTGCAAATAACACTTAGAGAAGATGGTGTATTTTTTTCCTTTCACTATTCTTAGATCTTTTCTATCCTTTATGTACACCTAATATGAACAGATAGTCATCCAATAGGCAATGACAATCATGGCTCTTTAAAATTCCGTTGTGTCTCTCATCCCAGGTATCAATACATTTATATATGTTAAATAAACTCCCTAAAGTGTAACTGAAACTGCATTAGAATATTTGCAAAAGCATTTACAAGCATTCCTTTGGGATAAGGGAAGGGAAAACTTCAGTTTTGGCATCTACTAACATGGCAATCAGCTAATTAAGGAAAAAAACCTGATAGTCCAAGCTTATGAGAAATGTTTGGTAGCACAATCATCTGTCAGACCAAACCAAAATATTTAAATGAAAGAACAGGCCCATGGAAATGCTTTCAAACAAAGCCAGAAGCAAAGAAGTACAGTCACATGTCAACAATGCCTTTACCTACTTGTCACCCCCTTCCTGCATATATTTGCACAAAATTAAACCAGGTTCTGAGTACAAGTACAGATAACTGCATACCTCCAGAACACCCCCAGATCCACAAAGGCACAGTTTTTAAAGGTACATGGGACATATACGTGTGGGTCTTTGTACATGAGTAGACTTGTCCCAGGGACTTAGTATTGTCTTAATGTCAATTATCCTATTCTATAGATGTTTGCTTTAGTTAATGAAATGGAAAACATTTTTCTAACCTTATAAAGCCAGTTTTGCCTTTGTAGATTAAGGAATTCTGTACTCTCTTTTGCTTCACACGATACAAGCCAAACTGATTGCAGATTTCAGAATTAAATTACATGATTTAAAAATAGTTCATAACTTTCAGAAGAGAACTCTGTTTATTAAAGAAAAGCTCTTTCCATCAAAAAGATATTCGGCAACAATTTTCTAAGACACAAAGACCCTCCATAAAGAGCATCTTTACTGAGGCTTGTTAGCAAAGCATGTGGCTGCTTTATTTTAGATCCTTCCCTCTCCATAAATGGAATTTAAGTATAATCAGAGGAGAGCAATAAAACACACTGACCTGAATTTGCTGCTGCAGTAGATTGATTTTGTGCTGCTGTTGCAGAAGTTGCTGCTGTTGTCTTGCAATCTGTTAGAAATAAAATTTCCATTAAATTAAAAGAGTAATATTGAAACTTCAATATTATCGAGTGAAAAGCATCTTATTAGTTATTCTTTATTAGACTTTTATTTAGCAATTATTTTTTTTTAAATGAAGGATATTTTAGAAGTGTCTGTATATGTGAAATAAACATTTTAAATTTAAATGCAACATAAATTCTAGTTAGCCAGTAAGAAATATGTATTTTAAGCACTTAGGCCTCAACTCTGCAAAGCACAGAAACAGGGGTTTAGCTGTGTGCATGTGAATAATCTCATCACTATTCAACAAAGCATTTAAGCCTGTGGTGATCTTTGACTATGATGCATTACTGTTAGCTACAATAGGAATGAAACACATGCTTAAAATTAAGTGCTTTGCTGAATGGGGATGGGATTACTCAGGTGCTTAAGGTTAAACACACATTTTCCTGCTTTGCTGAACTGAAGCCTTAGCTAGTATTTATAGATGTTTCACTATTCAGCACAAGCTCCTAAGGCAAGCTTCTCTAACTTCACTCACAATGAGCAGCACATTACTTCTCTTGTAAATCTCAAAGTCTTCCTTGGAACTACTCAGGGACGTAGGGTCCCATTCTGTGGAAAAGCAGTACCTGATGCTCAGTAACTCACCCTCAACACAAACCTGTGAAATATGTAGATATTCTTACCCTCATTTGTTAGATTCGGTAAGGGATCGGAGGGTAAAGGCTTACTCTATCCCTTCTCTAACATGGAGAGAGGCAAGTTTTCAGGGCAGGGAACGTTAAGAAACCAAAGAGAGAGGATCTGCCACAGACACTGCCCCTACCCCCGACACCGTCCAAAATCAGCGTGCAAGAGCAGAAGGGAAGTAGGATCCTGTGCTCAGACTGCAGAGCTGCTCCCTGCAATGGGTAACCTGGCCTGCAGCTGCAGGGGAGAAGCTGCAGGGAACTGGGGGAACAACTGGACTTCTGCATTAGAAGGGTAACTGTGCAGCAGTCAGAAACAAGGACAAGATTTGCGTTTCCTGGAAACCCCAGCCTCAGCACTTCTGCTACCTTCATTTCTTAAGTATAATTTCCCCTCCTATAAATATTTATCTAGAGCAGAGGAACCACATAAAACAGCGAGAAGTTGGTGATAAAGGTAGTTCGGTCACTGAAATCCACTGTTTCGCTTTTGGCAAAAACCCTCCTGGTCTCCTTCCTCACCATCTTCCGAGCACACTTACTCTGTTATAAACTGAGAAAGCTAAGTAAAATGTTTTTGTGATAAAAAAATTACAGAAATGTAGCAAGGCTGATTTGCAAATAAACAATCACATAGTTTTAGTGCAAACTGTTCAGATTAACTCGTAAGAAATCTACAGTTACATACTAACAGCTTGTAGTTGTGCACACTCAGAGATCAAGCCTGTCATTTTCTTAATCTCTCACTTTGTCACCTGGAAATAATTCTGTAATTTTTTTCACTGCTACAGTTAAAATTCACTTTTGTACAGGAGACCAACACAAAATTCATACGTATTTTAAGTCTGGCATACGGCCTCAAAGAGACAAATCGAGGTCCGTGTGTTTCTGGGGCTGGATCACGCCAAAATGCTGCATGGAGAAAGAATCAAGCATTATAGCCTACTACACTGATCATAGAATCATAGAACAGTTTTGGTTGGCAGAGACTTTCAAGATCATTGAGTCCAACCTTTGTCCTGGCTCTATCAACACCACCAAACCATCCCCCTAAGTACAACATCTACCCGTCTCTTAAACCCCCCCAGGGATGGTGACTCCACCACCTCCCTGGGCAGGCTGTTCCAGTGCCTGACAGCATTTTCAGTAAAGAAATTCTTCCTAATATCCAGGCTGAACCTCCCCTGGTGCAGCTTAAGGGCATTTCCCGTTGTTCTATTGCTTGTTACTAGGGAGAAGGGACCGACCCCCACCTCACTACAACCTCCTTTCAGGTAGCTCTAGAGAGTGATAAGGTCTCCCCTCAGCCTTCTCTTCTCCAGGCTATTCAGCTGCTCCTCATACGAGACATGCTCCAAATCCTTTACTAGCTTGGTAGCCCACCTCTGTACGCTCTCCAGCACTTCAATGTCCTTCTTGTAGAGAGGGGCCCAAAACTGAAGATTGTAACAGGGATCAAACTCGCTTTATGAAATCCAAATTTTCTGCACAAATCTAGTAAAGTCAATAAAAATACGGTGAATGAAGACTGAAGGAGCAGGCCCTAGTCTGCTAGCGAGAAAGGCAGTTCAAACACAGCTAGCAGCCTGCATGCCCAGATAAGCTAGGGGCAACTCCTTGGACCTCAGGTTGTCTATTGTCAGATCAGTAGTCAGCAGCAGTGTCTATGCTTGGAAAAGCAATTCCGATGGTAACTATGCTATAGAGAATATTTAAAAACTTGTACGAGTGCTCAAGCTACTATTGTTAATGAGTAACACACCAATTGTGCTATTCCGTCTTAGAAGTGTAGCGCTTGTCCTAAAGGTAAGGTCTGTGGGGTGTATGTCCACTTTGTTCCTGCTGCTAAAATCTCAGTGAAGGTAATAGGAAGATTATCATGATATTCAGCTTCAGAAAGAAATTATTGTAATTTGCCATTGAAATCAGACACCACATGGAGCTGCATCATGGGTCATTCTTTCCAAATACTGTATTTTTTTTCAGAGATATGCAGTATCCTATGTCCATAATTGTTTGGAGCTGCTGGTGAACTAGGTGCTACTTAACATGGTAAGCTATAGCTAAGGCAAGGATGAGATCTCTGTTTACGTGTGCAAAGGCACTCATCTGCCAGAGTTGCTTGTGAACAGCCTTTTGTACCTGTATGTACAATATAGTGCCATTGAACATGCATTTCCTGATGAAAACCAGAAATATACCATGAAGCATCTAATGTCAATGGTTCCTCTTAGACGGAACAGTACTGTGATAGAAAATACATCCAATACCCCGCAATGCAATTACCATAGCATAGTCCTGATGTATAGGCTTGACACAGTAAAATAGGGTACACAAGCACCATGTGGCTCAAATTCTGAATTTTATTTGCCTATTGGTTGAGCTACATGCTCGCTTCATTGAGCATGACAACCTAGTTTTAAGTGTCATTTAATTTTCATTTTGAAATATAATTACAAAGTGTTCACTGTAAGATATCACTCGTCTGCAAATGTGTCAAGATTAATTTGTGCTAGCTTATTCACAAGTGTCAATAGTTAATTACTGTGTCATCTCTGGATGGCTAAATGACATTCTAACTTCTGATTTTTTACAGTGTTCCTTTATGTTATTTTCCATTAGGGGATGAGTCCATATTCCTACATGTGGGCAAATACTCAAGCACATAAAATACCAGACGTCACAACTCATTAAAATCAACAGAGCATATATTGCTGTATATATCCTATAAAATACATTTAACTGAAAAGATAATTCTAGTAATAATGTCAGATTCCTAAAAACCATACATTAATTTGGATCTGTCTGATCTAATGCCTAGGAGACTAGTGTATGGGATCACTGTTGTAACACTTTTGTACAATGACAAAAGTGCAGCTTTTTGGACAACTCCATCTTTAAAAAAAAAGCGAACAAAACCCCAAACAAAAAAAAACCCACAACACAAACAACAAATCAAACCTTACTTGTAGAAGAAATTATTTGTGTGCCCCCACCCACTTTTTTTTCTCAGTGTCCTATATTATTTCCTCTTTCTGGAAGAAGATGCAATTTCTGAAGATATTTATGCTCTTTTAACAAAAAAGATGAAACGAAACACCAAGCAGAACAGTGTTTATGATAAGCATTCTACACGAAATATTTTCACAGGTTTCTTTCTTGGAGCCTCACCTGTTCTTGCTGTTGGCGAGCAAGGTCCATTTGCTGCCGTTGTTTTTCAATTTGTGAGGCTGCCAGCTTTTTCTGTTCATCATGGGCAGCCAGGAGCTGCTCCCGTAAGCTGATCAGCTGGGTGATCATAGTAGAGAGCTGTCGCTCTTTTTCTGCCAGGCTTTCTGGTGTACCTAAATGTGCAGGAAAGATGTACTGTAAATATGAGATAGACAATAGTTACCAAGCAATATTCACCAAAAAATGGCTGAATCACCAACATGCTTATTTTAAGTGGCAGCTTGAATATATATTTTACTAACAAATCCCAAAAGAATCTAGCACATAGCTTTGCTGTGCTCTAAGCAGCGGAGGATATAACAAAAATAGGAGCAGAAAAGATACAGAGTATTCCTTTTTTTCTGGCAGGAGTAATTAACGAGGTAATGTGTACAAATCCCTATATCTTTTCCATCTAAATCTGCCCAGTGTGATAAATACATTCACAATTTATTAAACATAATTTTCCTTCACTTTATATATTTTGTTGGGTTTTTTTCCCCAAGCATGTAAAAATGCTAAAAAAAAATTAAAAGATGCTGTTCAGTGGAAGAAGCAGTTTAACAGTTTATTGATCATTTCTCTAAAATACCCATATATCTGGTAGGTCATTTGAGTAAATGTAAGCTTTGGTTATGGAATGCATATTAAAAATGAGCTCTACTTGTCCCTAAGAGAAATGGCTAACCTGAAAAAATGGCTGAAAAATTTTCATTTAACTTTCAAAGTTTACTCTACAGAGAGCACTTAATTAATATGAAACTACGGTACATTTATTCTTTGCACTAATGATGCTTAATGGTCTGTTTATGGGTAAATTGCATGGGTCTCCTAAGCAGAGAGTACAGGGTCCTTCTGCAAACCAATCCAAGAATATCCTATCTTATGTACGAACACATTACTCTGTCACAAACGGCAATGTCAGCTCCTACATTTGAGCCATACACTGCATTTCATTGTGTGAGCATCTCAGACCCACAACTCTAGAAGAGGTAATGTAATTACAGTCAGGTAGCAGTTCAGGAACATGGGAAGAGCATCTGAAAGAGGTTTACACTTGGAACTGGCATAAATGAAGCAATTTTGTGTTGTACAGGAGAACTGAGAGTTAGAGAAGAAGCAAACCAAATCAAGAACTACTCAGGTCTGTAACCTGCCACAATGACACAAGCGGCACGAAAGAGGGGGTATTCGCATACTTCCTGTCCTCCATTCACAATACAAGACTGTGATGAAGAAGTCACAGGACTTTTGAAGAGGAAAAAAATGTGTGAGAAACAGGATCTGGGAGGGAATGGAGAAACTGTCACCAAAATTACGACTCCATCTTCTTCCCAGGAGTAAGATGGATATCTTCTAGAGAAGAGAAGAAAGAGGTTGGCAAGTTTCATAAGGAGAGGGAAAACAAAACGGACTCCTGCCAAGCAGATGACAAGCCCAAGATGCTCTACTACTTACATCGTGCTATGATGAGACCAATATTATTCTTACGCAGAATTTCATTTGCAAAAGCAGCACACGAGAAAACCTCTGTCTGTATTTGCTTTCTATGGAAAAAGAAACTTCATGGCTTAAGTCAGTCACTCTAAACAAAGCAAACTCCCAGAAACGAAGGGTACCTGTTTTTCTGTCAATTTCTTAATTGCATTTAAAAACATAAAGTACTGAAAACATTCAATTTCTTAGCCACTGTTAACTATCTTAGTTTTAAAAGAGTCTGCAACAAACTGAGGTTTCAGTACCCTGTAATGCCAAATCTTAATTCAGTATACAGGCTTCTGGACAAGGAAAACTGAGTAACTTTTGTTGCAGCCGAAGTTTTAGAAGTGGTTAGCAATTTTCTTAGTCACAAGAATTATGATGGATGCATGAAGTTAAAGCTGAAGGACACTATTATTCAGACCAACTCACTGCAGAACAGTGTGATATGTGCAACCGAAGCAATAAAAAACTCCTATGCAAAAAGCTGTTTCAAAACAACAACAAAAAAAGATTTTTAAAGTCAGCTTAGGCAGGTATGCAGCCAGGAAAATGTTTGCACTGAAGGTACTGTCTTGCCAGGACCCATTAGCTTGTACTGAGCTTCACACTGGTGACATCAGTTCAATTACTTGCAACTTCAGCATGGACTTACCTTAACCCTCTTAGACAGTATTATTCAGTCTTGAAGATTTTGCACCATGGATCAAAGGTTATTTAGGTGCTTTTGAATATGTTATTGTATACTGAAATTCATTTTCATGGATAAAAGACTGTTCTACCAAAGGAAAACTCCCTTGACCGTTGTGACTAGAAGAGATCAACCACTCCACCTATTTTAGAAAGCCAATGGGAAGGAATCTACTGCTTCAAATGATACTTATTGCCATCCACTGCCACCTGGGAAACCACAGCTTGAGACTTTCACATCTGTCAAGCAGCTTTGGTGTTGTAATGCAGACCCCTGATCTTACAGTCATAAAATATTTTACACACCCAAAGCAGATATTAATCTCCTGCTCCATTTCCCTGTTTTTCTGTATACTTTGTACTTACTTCATAATACGAATAGAAAGCTACCACAAAGGTGCCTGCTACAAAATTTGATTGTTTTGATATGATTAGTTAGAATCATTTGATATAATTGCAGCACATTTATAAAATCATCGCGCTTTTTTTTTTTTTTTTTCTGAATTTTATACAATAGCAGGCAGAAGTTACTGTTCTTATTCAGGAATTCATAGTAATTGTTTTTCTTTCCTTTTTCCCCCTGGAGAAACACATCTGAATGACCCCATTTAAAGTACTCTACTCTTTAATTTGTACTGTGCTATGTAATCCAACAGCAGAATAGAACTGATGACCACAAAATGTACACTGTGCTCCTGGAAAATAACGAGACCTCCATGAAGCTGCGAGACACCTAACCAAACACTGTTCAAGACAAGAACAAGCATAAGATGCAGAATGTTGTTGTATGAACAGTGGGGGAGGTG